ACATTTCGTATTACCCTTGAGGATTAACGGTCCAGCTAAATCTATACCAGTAACTTCGAACGGTGTTGTATTTCCTATGCGGTCTGCGGGAAGCGGGGGTAGTGGAGCTTCGTAATGTTTTGCTTTATATCTTTTACACACCCTGCATTCTGCAACGATTTTCTTGAGTAACCTTCTTACGCCTATTATCCAGTACGTATTTCTTAATTCAGCTAACATTGTTTGTGTTCCAGCATGTTGCATGTCCTTATGTTTCTGTTGTATCATTCTCTTAATTAATTCATGTTTCCCGGGTAAGAGAATTGGATATATGAAATTACTACTTTCTCCGCTGTATGCTAACCTTGTTTTTACTCTTATAATGCCATCCATTTCTATAGTTAGTAGCTTCTTATCCTTTATCTTTCCTGTATATGTCTCCTTCTGTACTATTTTAATTATAGTTTCTTCAGCATTCTTATACTCTTCATTTCTAATATGTATAGAGTCTGCTTTATATTTCTTTCGTATTTTAGGACTCATTCTAAGTAGTCTTGCTACTAATCTTATTATCTTTTTATATTTACTGAAATATAATAGTTTATCACTGAAGTTAACTGCATTGTTGTCCATATGTACAGCTACACTTTTTCTTAGCTCACTTGCTATCATATCTTCTTCAGATTTTATTGTATTTATCTCTGATTTAGGCCAATTTTGTTCTTCCAAGTATAACCATTCTGGTCCCGTCCACCAAGTGTTTTCCAATAGTGTCTTTGGCTTGCAGCCTCGAGATGGTAAATCGGCAGGGTTATATATACCAGGTAAGTGATTCCAGCTTTCCCTTCTTGTATTAGTGCAAATTTCTTTTACTCGGTTTATAACGAAGGCTCCCCATGCCTCCTCTCTCTTTAGCCATGCAAGTACGACAGATGAATCGGTCCAGCAATAGGTTCGGTAATTATTAATATTTGACAACGCACCTGAATCCATTAGTTCTTTATAAAGCCGCGAAGCTATAAGTGCACCCATCAATTCTAGTCGAGGTAGTGTCATCTGTCTTTTTATAGGCGCTACCCTGCTTTTTGCCATGACTAGTCGTATGGTCGTGTTGCCTTCATGTTCTGTGCGTAGAAATATGCAACCTGCATATGCGTCCTTGCTTGCATCGCTAAATACATGAATTGTTACCTTGCAAACACTGAGTGGTCTTTCTGAGAGTCGTCGCGGTATCTTGCACTTGTTGATGCAATCTATAGAACTGATCCAGTCGTTGTATTCTCTTTTTAATTCTGTAGGTATCTCTTCGTCCCATCCTGTTTTTATCATCCAAGCCTTTTGTGTAAGAAGTTTTGGTACTAGAGTAACAGGTGATAGAAAACCTATCGGGTCAAATATCTGTTGGGTTATAGACAGTAGGTCCCTCTTTGTTATTCGTTCAGGTACAGATTTTATATTTACATTACAACATAAATCGTCTTCGTATCTGTTCCATTGTACTCCTAATACTGAAACTGGATCTACTTCTTGGGTTGAATTTGTCATCCAAGCTCTTAGTTCAAATTTCCCTTTCATCATTAATACTTTTGCTTCCTCTTCGAAACTTTTAACTTCTTCAGGAGTGTCAAAACTGGTGACGCAGTTGTCTACATAAAACGAATCTCTAAGTCTCTTCGCCGTGGCTTCGAAAGTATTTTTTTCTTTCTCTAAGTGATGATATATAGTTACCGCCAACAAGAATGGGCTGCATGCTACTCCAAAAGGAACTCTGGCATGTTGGTAAGTAACAATTTCTCTTTGATTTTCTTTCCACCAAAGTAACTTTAAATACTTTCGGTCATGTGGTGAGATAGAAATTTGTAGAAACGCCTTTTTTATATCTGCTGTCACTCCATAAGCACCTGATCTAAAGTTCAATAAAAGTTTAGGTATTTCTTCGATAAGGTTGGGTCCTTTATCGATACAATCATTCAAAGACTTTTTATTTTTTCCTTTACAAGAAGCATCAAATACTGGCCTTATTTTGGTTGTGGCCCTGTCCCACCTGATGACAGCATGATGTGGTAAGTAGTGACCCTCATTAATATTGTCTTCTTTTACTACTTCTATAATACCTTCCTTTTGCCATTCTTTTATTACTTCACCGTACTCCTTTATAATATGTGTATTCTCT